ATTGCGAAGATCATGGCCTGGATCATGTGTACCTTAGTCTCCAGACTGACATTGTTGCTCTTTAGTATTCTGGAGAAGTCCCTGACAGCAGACTTTCCCAGTGTTATTCATCATTTAATTTTCAGGGTTCTGGTACCAAGAATGTTGATTGTGGAACCAAGCAAAAAAAGCTGTTAACCATCTCAATCTCTTCACCATCCATCATGATGCTGCCAATCAGCTCAGTGGTGAGAGTATTTATTTTCTTGATGTTGAGCTTCAGTCTATATTGAAGGCTGCAGCAAGTGCTTTAGGTCCTTCTCAGTTTCAGCAAGCAAAGCTGTGTCATCTACATAACTCAAGTTGTTGATGATTCCTTCAATTCTGATAAACATTCCTTTTCATGGAGCCCAGCTTCCTGTATGATCTGTTTTGCGTATAGGTTGAAAATGTTATGGAGATAGGACACATGTTGGCATATACCTAACCTGATTTTAAAATATGCAGAGTTTCCTTGCTCCATTCTAATGACCGCCTTTTGGTCCAAGTATAGGTTTTGCATAAGCACAATCAAGTGTTCTGAGATTCCTATTCTTCTCAGAGTTAGCCACAGTTTATTCTGATCCACACAGTCAGTTTTTATTTAGTTTTTCTGAAATACAAAAGAAGTCTTTGAAGTCTTTTCAGGATTGTAAAAGTGTTCATCTACCAAATAAATATGGTTTTATTCATTTAACTGTTCACTCATTGGCAGTAGGTTTTATTCTAAATTGAGGCAATATATTGTTGATTCATTGGCAGTAGGTTTTAGACATCATTTCAAAGACATCATCTTCAAATTTTGAAGAAAAATTCAAATCATATTAAATCAGGCTTCAAAATGGCAGCACTCAGGCTTCAAAATGGCAGCACTCTGCTTGAAGATGATAGGTGATCTCACAGCTATCATGTGTGTAACTCTCCACAACTCTGCAGATTATTTAGTCTCATGAATCAGGATTCCATGGTGTTTTGAGTCATTTCTTCCTTGTCTCCTAATCCCGGATTTTGAGTTGAGATTTTTCTCATTCTGGTTACCAAGACAAAGTCCCCCAATCTGAAAGAATCCAGTATTACTCCTGTTATGCTTTACTGGCTATGACAGAACCAGTTAGAAGCACTGCATCAAAGGTCAAGTAGGGGTTGTCAGTAAGATGTTTGTAACGTGAGGACAGCCAGTGGGCATATAAACCTTTATCTAGGCTTGATTTTATTTCTTACCAGTTTACAATTAGTAAATTTTTAATTCAAAGTGAGTGGTAGACTGATCGGTCACATTCATAAGTCAAAACAGTGTTATTCTGTCTAATAAAAATGCCTATTTTTGTAATTTCCTGAATAAGAACATATCAGTGATATTAAAGCTGCATTTACCACTGCTCTTTCAACCTTTTATTCTTTTGGTATAATTTTAGTTTTTTAAAAAAGTACTTAAACCATCACAAGATAGTATTATTAATTTTTATGCTGCTGTATTTTTTATTTACTTTTAATTGGTATATTTTTATCTCCTCATGCATCTTTTTATGCTGGGATTATTTACTTCAGGCTGAAGAATTCATTTTCAGTATTACCTTTACTGTTTCTCTGCTGGTGATGATTTCTCTAAAGTTTTTCTCCTTGGCCTCTGATCAGAAAGTTTTTGTATTTTTAGTTTATCTTAGTTTTGAAGGACATTTTCACTTTAATAAAAGTTAGAGTTTCTGGTTAGTGATGTCAGTATATCAGTTAGCACATTAAACATTGCTACCTACAGTTCTGGGAGCTTTGGTTGCCTCTTGGTAAGAATTTGCATTGAAATCTCAAAGGATCATGGTTCATATCAGCCAGCTGCTCCACAGGAGAAGGATGGCAGTCTCCTCCCATGTGATTACTTTGAAAACCTGCTGGAGGTTCAGTTATGAGTCAGTTCCGAGTACACAACAACAATAACCTACAGTTCTGAATTTTATATTTTTTTGTTGGAGAATATGTTATATAGGGTACATCGCAGGCAACTCAATGGCACATAAAAACAATAACATACATGATAGGTTTGGAAGTAGGAGTGTCATCTACTTCCTAAACAACATGCTTCCGGAAACTCTATGAACTTTGATAAATGTCAGTCGTTGTAGAGGGGCCTCAGGCCTTTTGTTCATAGGGTCCCTATGAGTTGTGCTCAGCTTGAAGGCAATAACACCAACATTTACCAGAGATTTGTTGTTAGGTGTGCTGTAGAATTGACTACAACAAATATAGTGACCCTACTTGAATGTTTTCCTAACCGGCATTAGGCTCACAATCTCTGTTGCCTCCAGTCCCTATGTTGTAGTCACCATGTCATTCTTTCTCCTTGAGGGTCATCCTCTGTTTTGTTGAGCCTTGCAAACATGATGTCTTTTTCCAAGTATTGGATCCTCCAGGGATTGCTGAGTCATTTTCTTTTACTTTTTTTACAGTAAATTATTTTTATATTTATTTCTAAATCATGTAGACGTCATTTTCAGATAAATATATATCTCTCAAAATATATATTTTGTTATATTTTGCTATATCTATATCCATCTAAAATGAGAGTTATTCATTTCTTAAATTGAGACCTCTTACTATTTTTTAATTGAACAATTCATTATCCTACCATTTGTTACCTCTTTTAACATTATAAAAAGAATGAAGGCAGCATGGAGTTGGCTAAGTCTGACCCCTCCTAACTTTACAAGAACTGTCCCCATCAAGAACATGCACAGCACAAGACCAGAAAGGACATGCTTTCTCCCATCCCCAACTCCCATGCTCTTGCACCTGCTTTTACGAATGCCTACATCAATCCTACTGCTCTTCTGAGTCTGAAATCCATTTTAATAGCTACAGGACCATACTCAAGATTATTTGTGAGAGAAGTTAAGTTACCATTCAGGTTGGTAACAGGATATCTTTAAGTCATGACAGCCTAAGGTGTGTTTGCAGGCCCTTTACCTTTAAACCTCCAGTTTAGGTTACTGTTCCACAGTTGTCTTAAGTCCTTCCAGTTGTTGTTGATATGTGCTATAGAGTCATCTGCGATTCATAGTGACCCTATGCACAGCAGCTCTGAAGTCTGCTATATCCTGAGCCAATTTCACCGACTCTAACACACCTACTCCCCCCCCCCCCCTGCCCCAGTCACCATACCAATCCATCTCATCCGGAGTCTTCCTCTTCTGCACTATCCCTCCACCTTTCCAAGCATGATGTTCTTCTCCAAGGTCTGATCCCTCCTGCCACATGCTCAAAGTACATGAAATAGAGCCTCAAAATCCTAGCCTCGAAAGAGAAACTTGGTTTCAGCCTCTCTAAGACAGACCTATTAGTTTTCTTGAAGGTGTCTGTTCTCCTTCCCGTATCCCCCCAGTTTTCGAGCAGGCTTGGGAAAATGCCCCTGGCTCTGGCTCCATGAGGCAGCAATCCGAGGTCAGCTCTGTCTTGAATTGGGATGTTGGTTCTCTTGCTCTGCCCGCTGTTCTCCTTTAGACCTCAGTCTGACTGAGGTAGGAATCTTTAGCCACAGAGGACCTATGCTGCATTCTCTGATTAATTTTTCTTACTGGTAGTGAAATTCCCACAATTCTGCGCTGAACTTGCTCAGTTTAAACTTGATGCAATGACAAAATTAGCCAGACCCCTTTTGGATAGACTTCTAAACATTTTTTGCATGTTCCCATCTAGTCATATAAGGGTAGTGATTTGGAAAGCCGTTTTGAATAGTAGAACCACTATACCACAAAACCTAAGTTTTTATGTATATTGAAAAAAATAAAATATAATCCATGAGGAGAAACATAAGTAAAAAAAAAAAAACAAACCACTATCTAGTACTTACTAAAACGGTAGATAAGAACCCTACGGTTTATCCTCAGTAGAGAATAGTATTCCGGATTTCAGAAAATGAAAGGAAAATAGTCGACAACATCAAACATCTAGATAAAAATAATAAATATACAAGGCATATGTAAATGACCTGTTCATTTTGACCATAAACTTCATTGGCAATAAATAGAGAAATTTCACTAACACTGACAAATGTTTGGTGAGAATACAGTTCCGGAAATAATGCTGTAGAAAATGGAAGAAATAACTTTTCCATAGGGTTTTGGAAGAAATAAATGAAGTATTGAAAATATTTTAATAGCTAAAAAATAGTGTATATATGTATGTGTGTGAAATATCTCCAATATATTTTTGCAGAATTCAGAAGTATCTGTGTTTGAAGTCAACATTCGGTTTATTGGAGGTCTGCTTGCAGCGTATTACCTTTCAGGAGAGGAGGTGAGCAATGTCATGTAATACATTGATTTGGGAGGGAAAACTGACTGAAATATAATTAAAAGTTAAAAATTTCTCTAGTAACATATGGTTTTTCTAAATTTACTATTATTTATTACTTAAAGAGTTGGATATTTGATACAGTAATGTTTGTTCCCTCCCCCTTTTTTTTTTTGAGAATCCTCATAAGAACTCATCACTCCTGCCCAACTGCCTTTGAGTCAGTTCTGGGTCAGAGTGGCCCTCCAATGGGTTTCTGAGGCTGTAAATTTTATAGAGGGGGACTGTCCATCTTTCTATTGCAGAGTACTTTGTAGATTTGAACTTCTGACCATTAGATAAACAATCAACACATAACACACTACACCACTAGGGCTCCTTAAATTTGTCACGGATCCTGCCTTTACATATGCTGTGTCACCTTTGCAGCAGAAATCCTCCTTCAGTACATAGTTATAGGTATATATTTTCTTTTCTTAATATGCATTTTATCTTTTAATAAATAAATTTTATCTTGTAACATTATTAGAAATGTCTGCATTAGACACTGCTTTTAAAAATTTATGACTTACTTTGCATTTAATTGGATTGTTCAAACAAAAGGGAAATAAAACCTATTAAGAACAAATACAAGCATTAATCTGGAAGAATGACTATGATTCTCAAATAAAAAATTAGGTATTAATATTGCCTACTTATTGTAATGAAATATAATTTATTGCTCTAAGTTAAAAGGAAAAAAATAGACTCTGCATTACTGGTGCAGTATTCACAGATATGCCTGAGACCTGTGGTGTGAAAAATTCCTTTTCATTTCTCAGATGAATAAAGATCTAGGGGTATAATGTGAGAAAGGTAAACGGAAGAAAGAAGCTACAAGTAATTTCTGTTTTGTTTTCTGAAACAATGCTTGCTCATGTTCTTTGGCCATATATATTTTCAGTTGGTTTGCTTGTGCAAATTATTTGTTGAGTGCTTTGTCAATTTAAGAATAATGATAGATGTAGACTTTTTATTATCTTGAAGAAATTTCTAGTTTGCTCAGAGCTTTCATGAAGGAATGATAAATGTCATCAGATGTTTTTATGACTTCTGGTAACTTGGTAATACAGTTTTTGTCCTTTAGGATGTTGGTACAAAACCCACTAGTGTTGCTTTGATTCTGATCCACGGTGATCGCACATCAAAGGATTCTTCTTCTTCTTCTTATTCATTTTAATGAAAATTTACAGAGCTTTTGGATTTCAGTTCATTCATTGTTGCACTTTTCTCCCTGCCAACTCATCCCCTCCAGTTTGTTCTTCTCTTTGAAAAGTAAAAAAAAAATTTCATCATTATACAGTCCCTCCCCCCAAGTCCACTCCACTAGCCACATCAGGTTTTCAAGGCTGTAAGTCTTTGTGAGAAGAGATTGCCTATCTTTCACCCATGAAGTGTTTAGTGGATTTGAACTGCTGACCTTTGGATTAGCAAGCCAACATAAAATGCACTATTTGTTGTTGTTTAATGCTGTCGAGGACTCATGGCGACCCTATGAACGAACAGCCTGAGCACTGTTCGTACATAGAGTTTCCGAAGGCAGGCCATTTTGGAAGTGGATGCCGCTCCTGCTTCCAGGCTTGATTTAGTCGGGAAGCTCCAGCCAAAACTGTCCACCATGGGTGCCCATTACCACGATTGGCACATCACTGTCACAGTCTTCAGCATCACAGCAACCACGAGTTACCTCTGTACAGCAACGCACAGACCAGTGCTATACCACCTAGAAGAATGTTTGACAGGAAGACAATTTGAACCTGGCCGAGGGCCACAGATGACAATCACCCACCTTCAGCTTGGGCTTAAGGCCGCCTCCTGATTCAAACCCTAGGCCCAGGCTGGCTAGCCTCACTCCAGGGACAGAGCAAACCTGCACGTCAAGCACATTCCCGGAAAAGCAGTCCACTCCAAAGCTTGCCACGATTCCTGCACTCCCCACCACCACGCTCCTGCCTTCTGGCAAGGAGAGCTCCCCATGACCCTGTGAAGGCGCCAGCCAAACCAGGAGCAACATGGCCGCTTCCTTCCCAGCTTCCTTCGGTTTAAGGCCGCCTCCTGATTCAAACCCTAGGCCCAGGCTGGCTAGCCTCACTCCAGGGACAGAGCAAACCTGCACGTGAAGCACATTCCCGGAAAAGCAGTCCACTCCAAAGCTTGCCATGATTCCTGCACTCCCCACCACCACGCTCCTATCTTCTGGCAAAAATGTACTATAGCACCAGTATATTCACTTATTTTTTTTTTCAAACAAATGTTACATTAGCCTGTTTTCCACACTAAAGTCTACTTCTTGACGTTACTAGGTTGACTCTGAGTTACCACTTTTATGTATAACAGAATGAAACTGTACTTATTGTATATTCCCCTTTTTATAATACTTTGGCTTTATTGGTTGATATTTGAGTAATAGTTGTTTTAACATGTCTTCCCTGCATCCGTATAAATAGAATCCTATCACTCACAGCATTGTACTTTAAGATATATCTTGAAAGGTTCTTTGTCTGAGTGTAACTGTATTCTTCAGTTTGTCATTTCCAGCATAACAGATCATATTATTTTTCTTATTCAAAATGGCCAGGAGAAGTCTTAGCTCACTTATATCTAGGATGTCAGTCTTTATGAATCCCATTTCATTTTTCAAAAACTTCCTACTTTCCTAGATTTATACTTTGTACATTACATGTTCCAATTAATGGTGGTTTGGACCTATTTTTCCCTGTGGGGCTTATCTCCTGGCACTATATCCATTAATGTTCTCAGTCTTAGACTGGAAGCCACACTGAAACCTGTGACTGAACCTGCTGGTATTTGAAATATCGGTGTCATGGCAGCATGCAAGTCATCACTGTACAAGAATCTAACAGATAAGAACCATAGCCACAGAGCAAACTGTAAAACAAACATATAAGTATCACAAAACCAGTATGCATCCCAGGGAAAATAGAAAACAAGCTGTTTGGCCCAGGCCTGTGTATCTCTCTACCAGTCCAGCAGAAGATTGGAGTTAAGAGTGTCCAGTCAGGTCAAGATGTTTGTTCATTTGAGTGGTGACCATGACCCCAAGATGCAAGCCATTCAGTGGTAACACCATTCCTGGTGCAGTGTTTGTTGAAGAGTGGGTCATCCAACCTGGGGAAGAGTTTTTGCTGTTATCAAAGGAGCCTCATCTAGTCTACATGACTACAGATGGTGTCTTTGATAGTTTAGGAGGTGAGTATAGGCTGAGTACTAGATGGCTAGCCTAAAGGGACAGTCACTGCTGATGTGAGAAGTTTAAGATGGCACACTCTGCAAAAGGTGTACTGCTTCCATTGTGACCATGGAGGATGTCAGATAAAGATACATAGGAAGAATTTTTCACCTACTGACCAGCTTACTAGAAGAGATCCATATTTTTTCCTATTCCAAAAAAAGATGATCCAGTAGAATACAGAAGTTATCAAACTATCATAGATACTACATGCAAGTAAAACCTTACTGAAGATATTTAAAATATAATTGGACTAGTACATTGACAAGGAGCTTTTATAAATTCAAACTGGATTCATAAGAGACTGTGGATTAGGGGGAATATCATTTCATTCCATACTGGAGGCTGCAGTCCCTGACCCTCAGGAGCAAGCGCTTCATGTCCTCCTCAGTTTCAGCAAGCAGGGTTGTGTCATCTGCATAACACAGATTGTTGATAGATCTTCCACCAATCTTGACCCCACATTTCTCCTCATAG